CAGCAGCTCCTACGCATAGCGCTTCCAAGCCGAATAATGCTAGTCGCGGGCCCAGCCGGGATGCATCTACTCGAAAATACCCCACATAATCTGTTGGTCTCAGTACCAGTCTTGGTAGCTATCATCTCGAGAAGTGGCGCTAGGATGACTGGGTCGAGAAGTGCTGTAGTCTCCGAGTTTAGAAGGTGCTCCATCGCTTGAACAGATAGGACCCGAAGAGGCCACGCTATCAGCGAGATCGAAAGCATGAGCCTAGGGCATGAACTGACGATACGTTTTGTCCCCCTTCTTGGACCGACCTCATATCGAGGGAACATAGGATCTTCGAAGCGGCTCGGGCGGCTATCCAACAAGCGAAGATGCGCTGAACGGTCCGCGCGAACGGACTGCGACTTCCAGGCGCCAAACTCCTAATACCCCGCAGGAGCATCGCAGGCGCCTGAGAGCTCCGTTGAAGAAGAACTTTGAATACTCTATAATAGTCGAGCCGTTCAAGACTCGGCTGTTACTCATGCTACCAAGGTTCGAGACCTTGCGACGACACATCTCTTTACGCCTAGCACGTCTCACTTCGTAAGGTCGTACACTCACCCATCTCAGTATCAATAACGCCGACGCAGTCGAGGCCACGCGGCAAGAAATCGTCTGCCAATCACGAGAGATCTGAGAGGAATCGATTCCGAAGAACTCGAATCGTGGTACATACCGCACCAACGATGGAAGATTTTCGGAGCATTTGCGGTGGTAAGTGCAAAGCCATGCTGAGTACTAACGCTCGCAAGATGCTCTTTGCGGAAGAGGCCCCTCCTGCACAAGCACCGATGAGTCAATGGCTCGTGGATGACGTAGTGCCTCGGTGTGTTCCGCCGTATATGATCGCTCTCTCAATGGTGGGTATTGTGAGGATTCCAAAACGGGGGGACGTCTGACTGAGTCGTGCCGAGTGACCATCGTGCTTGATTGCTCACCACAAGGTAGAGCCCGACAGCTGCCAGTATCGAATGGCTCCTTCTCAGTACTGCAACTAACATGCGGAACAACGCCAGTATTCATCCTGATATTTGATCTCCTGCCGAGTTACCATCATAAAGGGAGTTATCGGTTTTCACGGTATCCTTACACTATTATATAATTACTGTAACTCACCCCATTGCCTCAGAGGCTCTTGGCAATTTCGTTCAACAGGCGAACTTACCAGACACTAAGCGAGCTAGTCGCTTTAACTTCGCCACGACGGACTGTGTCATAGAGAGTGCTTCGGTCTTCACAAGTACCCTTTCTGGGCATGTACTTGCTCTCTTGGGTGGGCTCAGACAAGGGATATAGTCTTCCCTTGTCGGGACTGATTCTGACTCGAGCTTTCATGAGTTTGATCAACGTGGATTCTAACCTTCACTTGATACTTCCTCGAAGGAGTTGATGTCCTCACCTGGAGTCAAGCACGGCCTGGCTCGAATGAGTCTCATGAGCAGCTGGAGGCCAGCACAGTAACTGCTACCAACACACACGGGTGTCTTACGCGCATCGCCACAATATCAACCGCCCTAGCGATGATAGCAGCCGAGAGTGATGCCCTCATGTAAGGATCAGGACACAGTACGAGTGGAATCATAGCCATGGCTCCGGTGAGGAGGCCTCGCATCGCATATACACCTGCTAGCGTGATGCGTTTGTCTATCCCCGGCAGGAGCGCCTCTTACCAGATTCGCATGCTTTCAATTGTCTGCTGGTGGTTCGGTGGAAGTACAAATTGAGTGTGTTGTGGAAAGCTGTGATGAGCCCTACACTGATGCAAGATGCAACTTGACGTGGCCAGTGAGAGCGCTTAGTTCGGTCTAGTACGGGTGTGAGCCGTTGTTGAATGACATGCAAGACCTGCGGGGTACCAAGTGGCAGCAAAATAAGACAAATGCGTTTGCATACCACTCTCAGACCAGCAGCGTACATCGTACCAATTTTAACACTTTCAAGTAGACACTCTGTGTAAGCAGCATAGGACGGACGTAATGCACCGCTGTGCGGAACAGTACAACCCTGTTGTCGCACAGGAGATCGGATTCGTAGTGGTCTGAGATGGGGTCAACAACGCGGAAGACCCTCAATAGGTTACTGAGGGAAAGTGCCGTTAGGCCATTCGTCATCGGCGTCCATGGTCATACGGTTAGCCAATCTGCATAGAGAGTGTTCGCTCCCTATGGTCGGCCGTAGTAGTGTGTAACACTCATCGATACCATAGCCAGCAGAGACTAAGGAACGCCTTCTACTGGGGAGGTCAAGCTAAGGCTTTACTAGAAAGATGACCCATGGCAGCAGTGTCGTCATCGGAGGACGATCCGCGAGAATGGACCACGTACTCTCTCCACAGGGCCATGATCCTTGAGCTCAAGATAGCGCTTTTGCCTGCTCACATTTGTAACTGATGCTATCACGTAAAGGACCGCTCACTATTCAGTTTGCTTTCATCGAGTATCGCCTTATTCGGCTCGTTGAATGCAGTATTGTCTCTGGAATAGCCTTCGTATTGGTGACGTTTGCTTCGGCGACTAGCGAGCCTCGTAGGGCTTCGTCTCGAGCCACATGCTGACTGTAGCAAGCGTAGATCGTCAAAGCTGTGGTATCTATCGTGCTCGAGTGGTACACTAAGGCATTCAGTGCAGTAACACCTGTCGATCACGGTGACCTCTTTGAAGGTGGTTGAGAGTGACCTCTCACGAGACATAGAGCCTGACGCTCTCATCCTCCGCCTCCTCGACATTGGTAACAACTACT